ACGTAGGTTTTTGAAGATTAGAATTTAACTTGGCGCCGACTATTGATATCAAATCTTTTATACAAATGATACATGTCATTAGAATTAAGTAAATAAGGATAATATTACGTAGGTTTTTAAAGATGGTTCTACTAAACAGCAAATGTGATTGGTCAGTTTCACAGTCGACTAAGTAATTGACGTTGGTGAAACTGACCCAAATGGTTTTTTGACCAGCAATACCCATTCTTAGCGCTTTTTTCTACCTTTTTTTAAAAAGGTAAGTTTATATATACATACAAAAGATACATGTCATTAGAATTAAATAAATATAAGGTTGGTACCTCTTAGATCTTTAGAGATAGAATTTTTAAAGACTAGTTAATTAAACGATATATTTTATGGGAAAAATCCATATTATATGACAAGATAGTGAAATAAAAGAAGGTAGGATGTGCAATGTATCGAAGTTAGTATAAATTGTACATTTATATAGATATTTTAATATCAGTTACTTTCGTGATAATATATTATGTTAAAGTACAGATGTATCAAAAATATATATAAAAAATGATTTAAAAATATATTGTATATATATGAAGGAGAGTGAAAATGATAAGTAGTAGGGCGAGTCGGGGAGAAAGAAGGGGGAGGAAATGCAATGAATCGAAGTTTTAATGATTATGGTCGGATATTACTCTGTTTTAAATAATTTAAAGTCAAATTGTTAATATATTAATAATAAATTACCATGAAAAGTAACTGATATATTATTAAAGGTGCCAGTTCAAAGTGAACATATAAAAAGAGTGTATATTATCCAAATTCAATAATCAAAATGAACATACATACATATACAGGGTGATCCGAAATTCGCGGATTCGGAGTACAGGACATGATACTTTATGCTAAAACAAACAACTTTTTCGTTTAGCAAATTTGCGTCCGACAAATAGTTTTTGCATGAGAGCTTCTTGAAATTAATGAATAAGCACTCGGATCCATGCAGCGCTCAGTGCCGGCATGCGCGCTTTACTTGCGTGTACCTAGTCCGTGACTAGTATTCATAAATGATGTCTTTTAAGACGCTCATACGGCTCTGTTATGATTAGTTTACGCGACATCTTAAGACTGTACTTAAGATATCTTATTTTAAATAATAAGCAAAAGCTATGAACAATATCGGCATTTGACCATTTTTCATATTGTGTTGCATAAATGATGAAAAGTTAATGAAATAAATACTGCGTTTATTTCTTAGGTAATACATGAATAAAAAATTGTCTGCTTGCATAATAATAATGTGAAAATAAAGACAAATGTAAATAATAATATGCTTCGCGAGCGTTCTTTTATTTCAAATATTATACAATTACGTGATAGTTAAATAGTATCATTAAAGTTAAAGAATAAACTTAAAATACAAAAAATAAATAGGCTAATGAGAGTAAACTCGCTGTTATTAATGCGAAATTATAAAAAAATTATATATTTGTTAACAATCAAAAAATATCAAATATAAAATACTATACGTTTCGGCCTAACATCCGGGCCATCTTCAGTAGTAAATTCACAAAAAAGGCATGGATCAATAAGAAAGTGGTTACTCTCAACGTCAAACAATCAAATCCACATGGTTGGTAGGTCATGTGCAAACGACTAGACGTAAATCGATAAATCTATGATTACAAGATAAAGTTGTATTAAAATAATAATAAATCATCATCGGAATCACAACAAATTAATATAAAAATAGTCAAGAGATAAAAATCCGAAGATAACATTGTGGTGGTCAAGATTTGAATGATCATTCAATAAATTTTTTATAAACTTACTATTATAAACAACTAGTGTACATGTGTTGTTAAATCATTATTATGCAACAAAAGGATATACATTTTATGAATGTTCACTTTGAACTGGCACCTTCAAAAATATATCAGTTACTTTCCATGTTAATAGATATATTTTATTATTAGAAAATTATTTAAAGTTTTGAAGATTTTAATACTAAAACCAATTAATTTTATGTTTTGAGTAACTGTATCAAATAAGTTTTATCTTCATTATTATAAAAGAATTGATTCTTTGTGCTGTATTTTATCTTCAGATTTATTGAAGGGAAAATCCTGTAAATAAAAGGCAAGAGTCTTTTAAATCCATACCTTTTTTCTTTGCAGACTTTTCCTATCAACAAAGAACAAAGAATCAATTTTTTAATAATTATATAAGGAATAGAGAATACAAATTAAGGTATCTACCAAACAAATAAATAACAGATCTGGAGACACGGTAGTTTCTCGTTAAATAAGTTACCTAACCAAATGCTGTAAAAAGAAAAAATTATATAGAAAATAATTTGTATTCCTACAGTGGAATTACAGCAGAGAATTTGTGTAATAAAGCAGAAAATATCTAACCGGATTTACATGTTCGTCTATTCTATGCCATCGATGTGACAGATTCCCTAACCTCAATCCTTTGTTATTGCCGAGACTCTTTTTAACGATCATACAGATCGCAGAGATCGATATTTATTCTAACCTCACTTCTGTATTCGTCTATGCCATCGATGTGACAGAGTTCCTAACCTCAATCATTTGTTATTGCCGAGACACTTAATAATCCGACTTTAACGATCGTACAGATCGCAGCGATCGATATTGTCGCGACCACATTTATCTCTTGCGTCAAAAATTCCAGAATGCATTTCCTCACTCCGTAGCTGGCAATAATGACGACGACGACGACGACGACGACGACGTTTCTTACAAACAAACCCATTTCCTCAACGGCGAACACCTAGATACTTACTTCCTCGAAGGCGAACACTTAGACGCTTATTTCTTCCTCGAAGGCGAACACCTATAGATACTCACTTCCTCGAAATCAAACACGTAGACACTTATACTTTCTCGACGACGTATATATCTCTCTATTTCGATATTTCAATTTTTATATTTATATACATATATAATAAAAATATTTTATATTATATTGAATAATATTTTTAATTATAAGAGTTAAATCGCGCGCGCGTCATATGTGATACAGCATGCAACACTGGTCTGCTGGTTAGATATAGATAGATAGAGTGAGATAATAGATAGAGTGAGATAACACCAGGGAATGGAAGTAACTCGTTACTTGTAACGAAGTTACAGTTACAAGTTACTTTTTTGGTAACTTTACTGGTAACTGCGTTACTTTCTTTTTTTGGTAACTGTAACGGTAACGAGTTACATTTTTTGGGTAACGGTAACGAAATTTACAGTTACTTTTGTCGTTACTTTGCACACGATTGAA